CCCCCCCGAAAAATTGATACACTCCGTTCACCAGGGAAGTTGTTGTTGTAGTCACATTAAAAAGGGAAAACGACACAACAGGGTTTACCCTGGTCGAAAGGCGACACACGTGGGTATACAGTCATCAACAGCAATAAATGCACTCATATCATTGGCCAGCGCCCAATTATACCCCGGTGCGTCCGTAAGGCGCAGGGTATACCCTCCGGTGACTACTTTTCTCAACAACTGTACCCTTTTTTCGGAAATGTACCCTGACCTGTCGGGAAACGAAACCCTTTCATCAATCATTTCCCCCGCAGGAATCTTCCCAAGTCCTTTTCCCCTCCAACCATGGGATTGTTGTTGTTGTTTTTCTTCACATTAAACTAGTGTCAGTTGCTAATCTCAAAATCTAGCAAAGACTCGGTCCGTGGTCACAAAAATGCTAGAGCCATGAGTAGATCTAAAGAACACACACTACTAGCAAGAAAAGGGTGCGCAGCCCGAGGAGGTACACCTGCAATCCCTGCAGCACGTTTGCATGCTCACAACTGAACTACGCGCNCAAAATCTAGCAAAGACTCGGTCCGTGGTCACAAAAATGCTAGAGCCATGAGTAGATCTAAAGAACACACACTACTAGCAAGAAAAGGGTGCGCAGCCCGAGGAGGTACACCTGCAATCCCTGCAGCACGTTTGCATGCTCACAACTGAACTACGCGCACACACTACAAATCGACTACAGCAGCAGCATCATCCCCCTTGTCCCGCATTTAACCAAAATGAATTTTTGTCGACTACAACGTACTGCTGTCTGAAGTGCTGTGTGTACAATAATAACACCATGGTGCATGGTACACAAGCTCGGGGCATGCAGCTGCTGTCTGAAGTGCTGTCAGAATGAGTCCGTGGACATACAATGAAGAAGAACGCCCAACCAAAGCCATCATTGCAATTGACAATCACCCGAATCTATCCAGATCATCTGTGTTAGGCACAGCAGTGTAAACATCAACACTGACAAGGAATCGTTCCACATTGAAGGGGTCTTCCACGATGCAGGTACACAATTAAAAGCACCCGGGTTATCCGCGCCCCCTGGGATACCAAACGGCGAATCTTCCTGCCCAATAAACACCATGGCAACGGGGCAGGAATCAGTTTCACTCCTGCGAAACAACACCATCAACTTTTCCGCTCAAGGTCAACAATGGCAGGGCAATACCCCAGCACAATTGTTCCGTTTGGAAACATGCACACACGCGTACGATACCCCGTGGACGACTGCTTGTTGCAGTCTATACGCAAGGTGCACGGGTCACGCTGTGAAAGCGAAACCGATCAAGCATGGTTGACATGCATTGGATGTGCCAATGTGTGGCGCTGTGCTGGCGGCGAGCTCGCGCCCGCACAGTGGAGGGGAGAGGCAGGATCAGCACACACGGACATGCCCTTGACATCAATCACGCACACACAAGTCTTATCGTTACTCAAGCAGCAGGACTCTGCGTTGTCGTGCATCTCAATCACCCTCCCTGTCGGTGGAGAGAAGAAAGAGTGCTCGCGTTGTATTTCATCGGCTCATCCCGCTGAAGCCTGGCGTCTTCGTACATGTATTGATTGGTCGGCTTGGTCGGCTGGTAAGCGTGACCGCTGTTGCTACAGCAGCAGTTCAAGCAAGAAACGCATCGCGATTGAGACACAACAGACAACGCACCACGCACACACGGCACATCGCAAATGAGACACACAACAGACAACACATGCACGCACACATGCATAGTCTATTCATGTCAACCATGCTGGTTCGGGCTCGCTTTCACAGCGTGACCGGTGCGTCTCGCGTAGACTGCAGCAAGCAGTCGTCCACGGGGTATCGTACGCGTGTGTGCATGTTTCCAAACGGAACAATTGTGCTGGGTGCTGCCCTGCCATTGTTGACTTTGAGCGGAAAAGTTGATGGTTGGTGTTGTTTCGCAGGGGCGGAAACTGATTTCTGCCCCGTTGCCATGGTGTTTATTGGGCGGGAAGATTCGCCGTTTGGTGTCCCATGGTTGGAGGGGAAAAGGAGTTGGGAAAATTCCTGCGGGGGAAATGATTGATGAAAGGGTCTCTTTTCCCGACAGGTCAGGGTACATTTCCGAAAACAGGGTACAGTTGTTAAGAAAAGTAGTCACGGCAGGTATACCCTGCGATTTTCGGACGCACCGGGGTGAAATTGGGCGCTGACCAATGATACGAGTGCATTTACTGTTGTTAATGACTGTATACCCAGGTGTGTCGCTTTTCGACCAGGGTATACCCTGTTGTGTCGTTTTCCCAAAAAAAACGGTAACCTGGTTGCCGAGTTCACGAAGTGAATTGGCTTGTTTGACAACGTCGTTGCCAAGCGACGAAAACCCAACCCCGATGGCAAACACCGGGGAGGGCGGAGAGGCATGGAGGGAGAGAACAAATGCCCATATAACCATAAAACCGTCACAAGCGGCCCAACACAATAAATTATGGATAAGGTGGAATAGCAACCCTCCACGGAGACAGAGTTTTTTTCGGTGGCTTCCGCCGCCACGCCCAACAACCCCACCCACCCAGTACTTGACGTGATGATAAAAAGGCGCATGTTTTTAGCAACTCATCAAACGTGATTTGGGTCAACCTGAAATCCCTGCTTCCTGCGGGAGACCGAAATAGTGCTGGACTTGACTTACTCCGAATGCGTGGGACGCAGCAGGAGGCGAGGAGGGCAGAAATGGAAAAACAGAACACAAGAGAGAGAAACGCCTAGGAAAGGGCCGCCCTAGGAGAAAAGGGGTGCGGAGCGATAGATTGCAGCGCCCAATGCCCAACCGATCGAAAAACGGCCTCCGGGCAACAAAAATTTGAAATTTGAAATTTGAAATGGTGCTCTGCGCGCGCGAGAGCGTTTTTTGCGGCTGTTCTTGAGACTTGTGCACTCTAAAACCAGGTGAACAGCGTGCTGCTCTGTGAGAGTCCGAGAGAAAAGGGTGCAGCTCTGAAGTTGAAAAGTTATAGCATCTATTTATTCTTATTTCGGTTGCCCTCCGGCAATTGAAGATATATACGTCATTGCAGCCTATGTGAATTAACCTCCAATCAATATCTCACACGCAAAAATGCCAACACTATTAATATTACTGTTGTCCAGGCGTTCATGCACCCTGAACAAAAATCATCGCAACCAACCCTGATCATTCCAGGCACCCTCATCATACCGACCTAGCCCGCTCTACCTTCGACGCTCCCGACAACGTATCGAACAGAAGTCCGCTTTCCACCGCACGAAGTGGTTAGGTTTAAGCTGTCGCGCGCATATTTCGGCGCGCATAAGTTTGTGCGGCATTTCTGCTCAGTGCTGCTTCCGGTCACACCGAGAGAAGGACGACCGCCGTCTTGCCATCCCCAATTCAAGTCCTTCATCCCTTCAACCGCCACCGCAACCCCATGTTCCTGCTTCCTTGCCACCAGCAACCAAGGGCCACGTCCTCCTCCCTCGACGCTCCTGTCACGTATCGAGCAGAAATCCGCTCATTTATTGTTTTAGCGGGGGTTTTCCCATGGACCCAGCGATTCATCGGGCACCATACACTGCTATTCTGCGCTGGCATTGTGTGCATAGAAGAAGTGATTCGCACCTCCTCTGACCTGCCGTATGTATGTTCCTGCTGTGCAAACGCCTCACGGTCTTTGCTTGCGCCTCTCGTTTTTCTGTGTCTCTCTGCTGTGTACAGTGCCGGCCCGATCATAAGAAACCAGAATCGGGCCCAGTCTGACTTGCTTATGTGAGGCCAGAGCCAACTACCGCCCCACCATATAGAAATTAGTGCGGCACTCGTGGCCCAGCCTGGGCACTTTGTTAAATTTTACGAAATCTCGGCCTGACTCTCGTGTAACAGCTGTCACATTGTCAAAATTATTTTTTTCGAATTTCTGTGACTCCACTGGCCACCAACCACTGCCGCTGTTTTTTGAAACGATCTTGACAAATTATTCGGAAAAATACCAAGTGGAAATCGAAAAACTCAGGCCGCAACGCCCTTTCATTTTCACCGAAAATCCGCCAGAACCGCTCGTTTGGAGTCGCGCGAGAGACCGAAACTCAACATCGATCCATGTTGGGCCCATTGGCTACCGTCTTTTTGGAGACCCTTCACCCTTCACCCTTCACCTTCACCCTCACCCTTTAACCCCGGGGCGCACGACCTCTGTATTGGATGTGAGCCCTCAGAACAAGACCCATAGTGTTTTTTGCTTTTATTCCGCCCAGGCCTCTTTTGCTCCTGTAAGCCCTCCTCTTTCCCACCTCCCACGCCGCGTTGATCACTCGCTACGTGCTACGCTTCTACTACTGCTGCTGCTGCTCGTGGAACAGGTGACACCAGAGGATGGGTTCACCCTCTCCTGGACCGTGGACACGGACACCCAGGAAATCACCGTCGAGGTAGGGTTGAGGTTGAAGAAGGAAGGGCGGGGGATAAACCCGGTGCAGACCTGCTCTGATGAAGTTTCAACAGGAAAGACGATGCGCGGGGCTCCGTCTGATCGTCAGGAGGCATTAATGTTTCAGAAACCCGTATTGTGGGGGTATGCCAAAATCACCCCCCGGGTCCTCCGAGCTGGTCTATCTGCTTGTCCGACTCCCCAATATGAAATGGTCCCAGGGACCCAACACATGTGCGTTCTTCAAGTTTGGGTTTGTTTTTGAATCAAGGACCATGGGTGACTCCAGTTGGTTGGAGCAAATCGTAGAATTGAAAAACGTGCCGTGATTGGCAGAGCCAACTTCAACTTCCTCTCTCAACCTCAAAAATATCATCACCCGCTTCTGAACCCCCGCCTCACACGTCACATTTTTTTCTCAGGCGGTGTACCAAGGAAGTGGATGGCTTGCGATCGGCTGGTCGGATTCCGGGCGAATGCCCGGCAGCGACGCTGTGATTGGTTTGCCCTCCGCGGAGACGGTCTTGGAGTATGACATGCCCGACTATAGCACGCCTAGCGCGTCGGCGGTGCAGGTAAGAGTCTGCGCGCGTGTGTGGGCTTGTTGTTTTTATGTGGGCTTTGCTAGCATTGACATCGACCGCTCTCTCTCACGCGCTGAGTACGTTGTGTGTGTGTGTGTGTGTGTGTGCTTTTATTATTAGCATCGACCGCGCTAAACGGCTGACCAATGAAAAGACGTGTGTGTGTGTGTGTGTGCATGTGCGTGTGTGAGCGCGCGCGCTTGTGAGTTCTTGAGAGCATCAAACGTTGTCATTTTTTTTTTGTGTGTTCACTTCAGATCAGCACTCACAGCGCTGGTGCCGTTTACTCCAACCCGTGGTCACACAGAAGAGCCCTCTCTACCTTCCCCTCCTGCGGTACTTTGCCTTCGATTTTTAATGCGAGAAGAGTTCAGCACTCTCTTCCCTCTGTGGACACACGAACTAGCGCTATCCACTAGGCCAGGAGCGGAAGCGAGAGAAAAACTCACTTTGCAAGAAAAACTCGCTTACGGCGTGATTCGAACCCCTGACCTGACCTCTAGAAGGTTTCGAGGTTACCAACCAGACCACCGGGGCGACCGGTATCGACAATGCGATTCGGCTGACCAATCAACGAGGCGAGTCTCAGCGCGGCTAGAACCTACGTACAACAAGAAACATCTTTGATTGCCTGGTTTTCCTTTCAGAAACGCGTTTAGTGGCCCTGGGCGAAACTCTTGAGGGGGTTTCGCCTATCCCGGGGATTTTGGAAGCAGCAGCGGCAACAGAAGAACAATGCACATGTTCTATCGAGGTCTCTATGTGATTGCGTTGCGTGTCTCGAGAAAATACAAATATTTATGCGTACCTCTAGTTAGCTTCGCAGCAATGTGTGCGTAAGGCGGGAGAGGCAGCAAGGAAATACGTCGCACGTGCTCGAGCTGGAGGTTTTGTATGTGTACCCACGTGCGCGCGGAGATGCTGCGAGAGCGCAGCAGTGCAAACTTCTCTGAAGCGTGAGGTGGAAAACACAACCGATTTGTGTTTTGTTCTTGCCCTCTTTGTCTTTACCATGGAACCATACATGTCATTACCATGGTACCATAAATGCCTTTACCATGGTACCATAACAGGCAACCGACTACCACCCGACTGCGGCAGAGGCCTGCCTTGTGTTCAGAGCGGCGACAGCCAGGCAGACGAGCAGTCGAGAGACGCCTGGCATGCGAAACGCTAGAGAGCCTTCTAACTCCTATCCGACACCGTGGACGACCTCGGATGGCCCCTCTCGTTCCACTGCGCGTGTGGTGGATCTTCCCTATTGGTTTTGTAGAGTCCGCGCCATCCCTGAAGAGCGCTTTCAACATGTTAAACAAATGCTACATGCCTGGTACAAAACAGGTACGTAGCTTTTTGAAGGGAGTCGACCGGGGTTGCGGAGACTCTTGAGTACGTACGAAGTATTGCACGGCGCAAGTCTAGTCCCACCCCCTCCTGTGTTGAGCAGGTGATGCATGTATCCAAGACGTAGTATTGTCCCATCCTTGAGTGTTTGTTTCTTGTTGCCGGCTGTCTTCCAGGAAATTTCGGATGCCACCATCACGCAGGCTGGCGGAGTGACCACCTTGAAGTTCGTGCGGCCCTTAGAGCCCTCGGGTGACGGAAAGCAGGTGCGTCATTGTTGTTGTTGTTTTGGTGGTGGTGGTGGTGGCTGCTGCTGCTGCTGCTGCTGCTGCTGGCGAGCTGCTGTTGCTTTTGACGTCGCTTTTGCTGCTGCTGCTTTTGTGCTGCGCCGTCGCAACGGAATGAAACCGTCGAACTTCTGTTTCATTCCGTTTCTCATCGACTTAATGTGGATCGACGCTGGGTGGGTGCGGTGCAAAGCGCACCCAAAAGAAAGCCACTCAAAATAGCCACTCAAAATATACCAAAATCTCAACAGCGAGTGCCGAAGAAACACGAAGACACCACCCACGCACCGCAATCTTGCGATAAATTCACGAAAAGACTCAATGGCTTAAACTTCACATATTTGCAATCCCTTCACTTGCTTTCAAAGAAGAATCAACACGTCACTCATGCATAGTAGACTTTGCTTCTGCTCAGTTACTGAGCGTGTCAGACCCCGCGATCTGGCTCTACGCTTGGGGCGGGAGCAACAACTTCGTTCTGCACAGCGTGGTCGGGGGGTTCTATCTTGCCCTTGACTCGTGCTCGATAGGCAGTCTGACTGGCGGCACCAGGGCGGAGTACGTGCACGGATGGTGAGATCTCTCTTTTTCTTTTTTACTTCCCGCAATAACAAACCTTATCGTGTCTCATCCCTCAACAGGACTTGTGTATTAACCGTTACCAGGCATACATAGTTACATGTTCATGGACTGCGGGGTTCGGTGGATGGCTGGAGAGGAGAGCTAGACGGTTTAGCTGGAATCGTAGGATTGGGTTGATTTGATGTACTACATTGCGCGAGATTGTCCGCTAAGGCAAGGAAATTGAGTTGCCTTTCTTCTATGTGCCCCTGGCTATACGTCAATTATAAAGCAAGGGATGCGATGTGTGCAGATTGATGCTAAGCCACATGGAAGAAGCACGCAGATAGACACAACACACATAATCTGAACACGATGGTTATCTAAGGACGTCGTACATACGCACATGTTTCGCCCGATCTCTCTCGAACCCGTGGTCATCGATTTGTATAGGAACGACGTCCTACTCACCCATGGGAGGTAATAGCAGTCACCATGCATAACACGTTGTTGGTGCATGGGATTCCAAAATGAAGCCCCGAATTGTCTCTTATTCCGTACTTGAAAGACTCAAAGAGATGAGAGAGAGTTGGGATCGCACACGCTATATCCCCTCGGCCCTAAACATCGCCACCGCCGCCAGCCGCCTACGCCGCCGCTGAACCACACCTCTCCACCCACCACCAACAGGCTAATGGTCCTCGGCTGGACGCTTTGTTTCCCGATGGGCATCTTGTTCGCACGGTTCTCGAGCAGCTTCAAGGACCTCGGCTTTCCGGCCCACCGAGTACTGCAGAGCCTGGGCAGCCTGCTCGTGATCGCCGGCTTCGTCGTGTCCGTCATATTCACGGAAGATGAAGGTCTAGGTGAGTCAGTTGAAGTCAAGTGCAAGCTGCGTGCCGTCGGGTAGCGCTGAAGAAGAATGAAGTCGAAAATTTCGAGACGACAGAGAAAGGGGCTACGTAGATGAAAAGTCCCTCGGTTCGCTAGAAAAATCATCCATGTGATGTCGGGCAAGCCCAGGTGAGACTTTGTGGCCGGAAAGATGAAAATATCGATCGATACATGTACTCCAGATGTTTGTGGACTCGGGAGTTTTCTTGGCCTCAAGCTTTTGAGACTTGGTCTAGACTCCCACCCACATAATAAGCGAGATTTTTAGCGAGGGTATCCTAATCCTTCTCTACAACCTCGCTCTCTTCTCGATTGTTTTGATCGATGATTCGCCAAAATTGGTCTGTCTGTCTCTTTTATTTTTATTTTTCTCCCTTGTCAGAACACTTCAAGGAAACCCACCAAATGAACGGGCTTATCTTGACAGTTTTCATCGGGCTCCAGGTGGTGGCGGCTGTGCTCCGCCCGAGTAAACCTCGGGCGGGTGCCATGGTGCAAGATGCAACCGGCCAAACGGTGAGAGTTTTGGGAGAGTTCGATGGTTCCTGGATGTGGGAAAGCGAGGGAATGAGGCAGATAGAGGGAGAGAGAGAGATCGCGTGTGTGTGTCATAGAGAGGGGAACACACGGCTCGTTAGAGCAAGAGCGAGATAAATGGCGCGAGGTGGCAGAGGCAGTAACAAAGGAGATGAACTACGGTTTGTAGTCGACGTTGAGCGAAAAAGACGTGCGGACTTGCACCCTCATTTCCTTTTTTCTTGTGATGTATGCTACGTATTCGAAAACGCTTCCTTCTCTGTTTCTGGCATCTTGCCTCGCAGAACCCACAGCCGGTGAGCAAGGTGCGGCGGGCGTGGGCACTGCTGCATAGGGGTCTGGGCTACATCGCTGTCGTCATGGCGGTTTTCCAGGTGTTCTGGGCACACTACGCTTGCAAGCCAGCATATCTCAACACCTCCACACCGTTATACGCAGTGTATTAAAAAAGGGTTTGCATCGTCGATATTCATGAATTACCGTATCATAGATATAACCCTAACCCTAACCCTAACCCTATCCTATCTTGCTTGAAGAACTGAGTGAAGGGCGTTATTTCGGACCTAACGCCTTGTGAGTTGAACGCAACGTGAAGCTACTGGTTGTACGTGCACAGCAGCTCACACTCGAAAGTGTAGAAAGTCAAGAGACCTAGCAGTTGGGGACACAGTTCGAAGGATGAGAGTTAAATTCATTTTTTTTTTCTCCCGTCGTTGGACTCTGTCGTCTGCCCCTCTGGCCCCCATCATCCACTTCTACTAGCTAGACGACCCAACCGGGGTCACATTGGAGGGGGGGGTTGGACACCCTCCTGCGGTTCCTGCCTCAGATATTTTTATCGCGAGATATATACTGTGTTGGATACGAAACTCGGAATTAGTGTGGGTTAATTACACTTTAGAGCCACGTTGGCTTTGGAAAAGGGCAGGGTTGTGATTGCCTTTCCTCCCCCCCCCCCCCCCCC